AAGATATTACTTAAAAGTACTGTATACAGAATAAGAACTAGCTATTGAAAATTTTTTAAAAAGATAAATAAATTTTAAACTTCAATAACAATCTTAAAATACAAAGTCAGGAAAATTTCCCAGAAAGTAGAACACTAAGAACAAAATACGGAAAGTAGGACAGAAATAACATTTATAACAATATTTTACTAAAGGAGTACCAGGGGGTGGGAAAAAAATAAAATGAAAACAAAAAATTCTAAAAAGTTTCCCTGATCTAAAGAACATGTTGGGTCAATGCATTAAAAGCATTCTAAAGCAAGGCCACATGAATAAAGAGAAGGTACTAAAATATCTCAGGCTGAGAGAGAAAAAATGATGAACAACATTGTATCAAGGATTGGACTACCATGGATTAGTCCATAGCAGCACTGGAAGGCACATAGCAATGGAGAAATATCATCAAAATTCTGAGAGAACCCACACTTCTACATACAACCTATCCATCAATTAACTGTAAGGGTAGGAAAAATAGATATTTTAAGACATTTAAGGACTCAAAAATGTATTTCCCAGGCATACTGTCTTAAGCATTTTCTGAAGGATCTGTTCCAGCGGAAATTAAAAAATTAAAACAAAGACTTAGAATCAAAGAAATAAGGAGAACAGCAAAGAAAAGACCTAAGATATGAAACAGCTAGCCCTGACCAGGTGGCTCAGTTGATTGGAGTGCCTTGCCATACTCGGAAAGGTTGCAGGTCGATTTCCAGGCAGGGCACATACCTAGCTTGTGGTTCCATCTCTGGTCGGGGCATCTATGGGAGGCAACTGATCCATGTTTCCCTCTCACATCCATGTTTCCCTCTCACATTGATGTTTCTCTCTCCTCCCTTTCTCTCTAAAAACAATAATAAATAATAATATAAATAAGCAGCTCATTTCAGAACCACTGAATAGAAAGGGTCTGGGAATGCATCTCCAGGAACAAGGTGGGAGTGTATGGAATTGAAACAGCATCTGATATGTCTAAGCACTAGGATATAGATTACTAGATTATGACAGGTCTATGGGAGCATGTAGCAGGAATCAGCAACGGGAACTTAGAAAACTAAACCAAAAAACAAGATCAACTATTAATTCCATACAAATCAGAGAGTT